AATTGCATTGTCATTATTTATTAATTAGGTTTGTTATTATGGCTGCATTGATGTGTTCTCATTTTCTGCTATGGTTGTTTTGGTTTGGTTTTCCCTTTATTGCTCTGTACTAAGTAAGTAAGTAGCTACTGTATGGATAGTGTGTTTATTTTTGAGATAGAGGTACCGGTACAATCCTCCAGTTCTGCTCATATTCCTCTGGCTTGTTTCCATATAGATTTGCCCCCATGTCCATGATCGGAATATACCAATGACCTATATGTCTCCCTTCCATACTGTGTGTACACTCTGATAAATTCAAAGAAACTGTAATTGATTGTTTAACCAAACTAATGTATTGTTTTATGTAATACATGCTGAATATGCCTATTTTGTATCTCTAGACCAGGGGCTGACTGACAACTCATGGGGCCCCTGGGTAATAGGGGATCATGGGGCCCCTGTGTACTTGCCCACACTCAAAACACATCCAAAAAAACTCATGAAAGGTACCAGGGGCATTTCATGGGGCCCCCTACTGACCCTGGGCCCTTGGGCAGTGCCCACGTGCCCAAATGGTCAGTCTGCCCCTGCTCTAGACTAATATTGAGCTCCTGAAGAAGCATTCATGTTCAAAGTATGTCGAGCAGTAGTTAAAAATTACCAGTTTGCGGCTTACTTGGACCGTTTGTCATATTGTGATTATTTAAATATCAAAATGGTTATTATGGTCAGAAAGCTGCATACCATTCATAGATACCAGCGTGTCTGAAATTTGTGATCTTAATAATATGTAATTTTATGCAGTTCTATTTTGTTTTTGTTCTTGTCATTTTTTTTTTTGTTTGTATTGATTAAAAGTATACATTTTAACAAATACTGATTTGTTTGATGCCTGAAAAGTCCATATTGCTTTTTCCATATCAAACTTTTCAAATACATTGGACGAGGCATTGCTGTATTTTAATAGATGTCCACAGTGCCACACTGTGGGGACATTGAGTATCAATATTGTTATCGCTATTGGAATCTTTTCAGTTTCTCTGATGAATACATGCTATATGTATGATTCACACAGCTTCCTTGTGATTGCTCTCGAATGGGTGACTGGAGAGATTTACATCTCCCTGGCTCCCCTAGTGGTGACCCCCCCCCCCTTTTTTTTCTTTGTTCCTTCCTTTTCTTCTTTTTTTCTTCGTTCTCTCCTTTTTTCTCTTTTTTTCTTCGTTCCCTCCTCTCTTCTTTCTGTGTTATATTGAAACCCAAAACTCCCTTGGATATGCACAGACCCAGGCAGACTTGGGTATATTTAACTCTGGTATATTTCTGTATTTTGTGCACAGTGATTTTCATGAGCACCAGTTCCTACCCTGTGGTCAATCTCAAAATCCCAGAGGCCTCTCTACATATAAGTAACCAACTCTTCTCACTGTGTTTAGATGGACGGTTACTACAATGCACACTTTTCTATATAATGTTACGATAAGTCCTTCTGCGGATGTGGACTTGTGTGTGTGTATATGTATTTTTGAAGGTATGAATATGTATGTTTATATATGTACGTGGTTATATATGTGTATATATATATATATATATATATACATATGTGTATATACCTGTTTTTGCCCTTTGCTATGTGCCTTAGAACTTAAGTTGGAAACGTGTATGGAGTCAATGTATTTCTTGTTCTCTGTTGCAATCCCCTAAATTAAAAAAAACAGAAGATGTGCATACTTACCTTCTTTTAATCCGCTCCAGTCCAGTCACGTGAACCCCTTTGTCAGTGAGTGGTTCCTGCAGAGCAGACGAGGGAGTGCCTACAAAGGCTGGGCTCTGGGAGCCTATTGGTGACATCATGTCTCCCAGAATTCCCAGCCGTTGTTGAAAGCTCCCTGAGTCGGAGTTGCAGAATCACCTGACCAGGGACGGACTGACCATTTGGAAACTTGGGCACTTCCCGAGGGCCCGGGGTCAGTAGGGGGCCCCATGAGATACCCCTGGTACCTTTTTCATAGGCTTTTTTGAGCTTGGGCAAGGACACAGGGGCCCCATGATCCCCTGTTGCCCGGGGGCCCCATGAGTTGTCAGTCCACCCCTGCACCTGACCTCCTTAAAGTGGTTAAAGTTAAAGTGAAACCCTGCCAGTGAATTCCTCTTATTTTTAGTATACCATTGAAAGTTTTTTGTAATACTGTTGAAAAAAATATGGTTTATCTGATGGAAAAAAAAAAAACTATTGATAAAGTGGTTATAATGCCTTAAGGTTTGCATAATTTTATGCATTAAGTTAAAAAACCTTCTGTGCTGCAGGATCCCCTAAGCTCCCGTTATTCTTGCCTGAGCCCCATCCAATCCAACGATGTGCACAAGAGCAGCGACTCTTGCCGCTGTCTCCCTCCTCACTGGGCAGATTGGTAGCTGTGGCTGTCAATCAAATCCAGTGATGAGGAAGTGGGGATCAGGTTCGAGCTTCCTGCTCTGTGTCAATAGACGCAGAGAGCATGGCTCGTGATTAAGTCAGCAGGGTGTCCCCATGGAAAGCGGCTTTCTATGGGGGCACTTGCCAAAGAGGAGCCTGGAGCACTGGTGGGGGACCCCAAAAGAGGAGGATCAGGGCTGCTCTGTGCAAAACCATTGCACAAAGCAGGTAAGTACATCATGTTTGTTATTTTAATATAAAAAAAACAGAAGGTTTAATGTCACTTTAAACATAGGTAAGTGCACATATTTTTTACAGCTAAGGCAGAATTGGTAGGAGGGAACATTTTTAAGAATAGCTAGACCATTTATATTGATTGACACGATGTTCAGCAATGTGGGCAACAGGAAAGTACGTTTTGATTTTCTTTTTTACATCTAAAAGCTCAATTGGGTATATTAGATTCGTTACTGGGTCAAGTTAACTGCATAGTTCCCAAATCATGTATTTATATGGAATTTCATAATGACCATCATAATTGAAAAACATTTAATTGATGTTTATATGACTATACGCTACACTTAAAAAATAATTTTACAAAGGACAAATTCAGGTTTTACTCGTATTCTTTTTATACTCTTTTTTTTTTTTTTACATGGAATTCTTAGTAAGCAATTAGAGACAATGACCTTATGTAAGCAGAGAACAGTCTAAACCACAATGAATGAAAGAGCCATACATTTACCTTACTAAACACAAAAACAGTTGACATCTGACATTCAATGCACTCAGCCATCAGCAAATGAAGGTGTATATAAGGACAGATATACTGTGCACTAAGCATCATCAAAATCTTACTCCATCATCAACAAAAATGGGGAAGGTAACAGGTCTAAGTTTTTTAGAAGTATTACAATGTACATATATATTTAGAATCACAGTTTAATTTGAGAAATATATAAAACTAGGTTTAACTGAGGGTGAGAAACAAATATGAACAGTATGTGGCATGTGTATAGTGTTCTAAATGAATTAGTGGCAATGAGAAATAATTAGTTAGGCCATTTATTTAAGCAGAAATTAGATAAGAGTATGGTTTTATTATATTGATGTAAAATTTGATTTATAAGTCTATGAGATTTTTTTAAAGTGCATATAAACCCTGCCAGTGAATTCCTCTTATCTTCTCCTTTTTAGTATATCATTGAAAGTTTTTTGTAATACCTGTTGAAAAAAATATGGTTTATCTGATGAAAAAATAAAACCTATTGATTTTCCCATAAATCTTGTGAGCTGATAACTTCCTCTGCTTCTTACCTATGCACAAGAAGGCATTAGGAAGATTAGGAGGGAAGAGGTAAATGAGGAGAGGTCTATGTTCTTTGTAAATAAAATAAAAAATTGAGTAGACAGAACAGACAATCAGGGGTGGACTGACAACTCATGGGGCCCCGGGCAATAGGGGATCATGGGACCCCTGTGTCCTTGCCCAAACTCAAAAAAGCCTATGAAAAAGGTACCAGGGGCATCACATGGGGCCCCCTACTGACCCCAGGCCCTCGGGCAGTGCCTGAGTTTCCAAATGGTCAGTCCGCCCCTGCAGACAATACTTGCTTAGGGATTTAGAGCTGTGTCATCATGTTAAATAAGAAGGTAGGCGCATACTACATTTTTGAAAAAGACAACATTGGCATATTTTCTTGTACTTGCAGCATGTTTAAAATGATAAACACGGAGAACTGTACATGTATAGCAGAGTCGTATGAAATATTTTTTTATTTTGCTATTTTGCTAGAGTGTATGCACACAGATAACCTCTGCTTGTGCATTGTGCACATTTGGTCCTCTTGCGCCAAATTTAAAGTGTATCTTTAGTTTTTTGTTTTATCTTTAGAAAGAGAAGGAACTGGTTAGAAGCTCTGTTAAAATTTATTTTGCTTTCTATTTCTCATTGAGGAGATTTTTTCATTTACATTCTGTCCCAGAACAGAACCAAAGTGAGAGGAAATCTCAAATAAAGGGTAAATCCCCTCTTCAGTTGTTGCCACTCAAACAAAGGTCCCCATTGGAGGATTTATACATCTCCTGTATAATTTAGAATTTTTTCATCATTTTCTGTTACAATGACAATGTCACCAGAACAAATAGACAGGGGTGATAACAGTTCTCTTTACTAAAAAAAATAGTATAAGCTAAAGGTACACGGTAAGATGCAATACAAAAGTGGTGTTGGCATTTGTAGGTCTGCTAGACTGTATTTATAGGATTATCTTCTGCAGCTGTTTTCATTGTGAGTTTGATTTTTTTTTTTTAATGGAAACAGTGTCAAAACAAAGGTACTGAAATCTCTGTCTCCCCTACTACTGTTTTTTTTTCATGTTTCTAAATTGTTTTATTCATTCTTATGAGAGGAAAACAGTTCCAGGGAGCTAGAAGGTGATCCTTGGTTGGTACTAATAATTTGACAAATAATTAGTGTTACAGTAAAATATTATAAAGTACAAATCACAGCATATTATAACTTTTTTTTCTACAGATCATATTTTATGAAGACAAGAATTTCCAGGGCCGCTCCTATGAGTGTAGCTCTGACTGTCCTGATATGACCTCCTTTTTCAGCCGCTGTAACTCCATTAGAGTGGACAGTGGAAACTGGATCCTCTATGAGAATCCCAATTATAGGGGAAACCAATATTACCTGAGGCGAGGAGAGTACCCAGACTTTCAGCAATGGATGGGGTTTAATGATTCTATCAGGTCATGTCACCTGACCCCTCAAGTAAGTATTTGTACACAAATGTAAAGTTCCTGTAAAATTGCATACTATTCATCTCAATGGGTCAAAATGGATATTAAAATGAAATATACAGCAAGGCTGACATAATCTTATCAAGAGAACATTTTCCAGCAGGTCCTTCATTGTGGTACACCTGATTATGTGTATGCAATACCACACCACAGATCTTCATGTGGGGGAAAAAAAGAGCAGATGAACTTCCAACAATTTACTATTAAGAACAGCAGGGTCAGTTTTCCCAATGCAGAACACTTTTGAAGATCTGCTCATAAATTGTAGGATCTAAGTGTCACTGTTCTGATGAGGAACTATAAGCTGTAGAGGGAAAAAAAAGAATGGGTATAGAAATTTGAGCAGAAATCGAACACCCTGAACATTGGCCTTGATAGAGATAAAAGGTTCATGTGCTACTATGACTCCAACTTATATATCATCTTTGTGTAGCTTATAATTCAGCTTCTAGGAAAATATCAGTTGTAAGGACAAAATGTCTTGATCAAATATTTTTATTTCACACCTGAACTTTATTGCCTGGGTTTATTTTTAAAAAGCGTTCATGCCTTATTGATCTGTATCTTTGCTTCATTGTTTGTTGTTGGTTTAATCAACTTGCCTTCTTTGATGCCCACTATACTTGCATGTGTAATTAAAGCTCCACCCAAAAGGGAAAGTTCTGCTTTAAGTCTTTGTCCCCTGCTCCCCATTAAGGATTGGCACCTTTGGGGAGTGGGTACCCGAATTTGACAGGTACCCGCTCCCACTTCTGCTGCAATCGCCTAGGAGATCGGTAGCGGAAGTTGTCCTGCCCCCCCCTCCCTCCCCGTAATCTTCTGGGACACGTATGCAGGTCCCAGAAGACTATGGGGCCATTCACAAAGCGCAGCGCTTCTTGCACATGTCCAGTGGGCACCCGGCTGTGAAGCCGCAAGCTGTCACACCCCGGGTGCCCCCACCGAATATGCCAGCATCAGGGAGAGAAGACAGCCGGTGAAACCAGCCATGGTGAGGACACCGCTGGACCAAGGGACAGGTATTTTAAAAGTCAGCAGCTACAGTTTTTGTAACTGCTGACTTTTATTTTATTTTTTTCAGCTGGAATTCCGCTTTAAGTATGATTTTTTTGTATGAAAACCACGTCTGCAGAAGAAATCTAATTGTTTTCAAAAGCTTGCACCTGAAAATATGTTCAGTTGGCCAATACAGGTATTGCCTACTTTCATATCTTAAAAATATATATGGAAGAAAACGAGCGCTAGATCTATGCAAATGGAGCTGCTAGCATGAAAGGTAATAACCTCAGAACCTTCTAAATATGATATATATAACAACATGCAGTGCTGAGATAGATAATAATTATCATAAATTATTACTAATATAATATATATCAAAAAACCGGTATAATGTACGGATGTATATAGCGTCTCTAAATATCGGAAGAAATTAAACAACACTCCAAAACGGTGCAAATATGTGGTGTGAACGTGACAGTCTTTCAAAAGATCAGGGTAGCAATGGTGACATTGGTGGTAGATATAGATGCAGATTGCACTATCTAGATAGTGCTTATTAATGCACATAAGATTGATGATACATGGGTCTTCTAAAGTTGGACATCTAGGATTTGGATCATCCAATGGGCAGCAACAGGAATTACAGCATATCAGCCACGTTTCCAGATACTTGAAATGCGGTCAAAATCCACCAGAGGGAGCCAGCGATCCACATGTCATCAAAGGTCTTTAACCCAGCATCAAGGTGTATGTAGTACCACTGAGAGCAACTTCCTGACATGTTTCGTGCTATAGCACATTCTCAAAGGACTAGCACGAAACATGTCAGGAAGTTGCTCTCAGTGACCCTACCACGTTGTCTCTTCAGTTGGCTAGGTGCCAAAAGTTATTTGAAAATGTAAGTGATATTCTTTTCATTGTTATTCAACATAATAAAGCAGTGTTACACTATGGCATTCTTTGTGCTTGGGCTCATTTCCCTATGAGCCTGCCTTTTAAAAGGAGACCGTTGGATGACATCTTAACTGCTGGCTCCCTCTGGTGGATTTCGTTTGTATTAGATACACCTTGATGCTGGGTTAAAGACCTTTGATGACATGTGGATCGCTGGCTCCCTCTGGTGGATTTTGACCGCATTTCAAGTATCTGGAAACGTGGCTGATATGCTGTAATTCCTGTTGCTGCCCATCGGATGATCCGAATCCTAGATGTCCAACTTTAGATGACCCATGTATCATCAATCTTATGTGCATTAATAAGCGCCATCTGGTTAGTGCAATCTACACCTATATCTACCACCAATGTCACCATTGCTACCCTGATCTTTTGAAAGACTGTCATGTTCATACCACATATTTTCACCGTTTCGAAGTGTTGTTTAATTACTTTCATATCTTGCCAGTGTGAGTATCTAGAGGTCTCTCTGAGGTGCCATATTTTGAAAGTATGGATGAAGAGGTGTCCAAATATAAATTCTGCTATACTTACTAAATTCAAATTAACGAATACACAAGTTGTCCTAGATTCCCAGGAATGTTAAGTGGTTGTAAAGGCTGAAAGTTTATTAACCTTCATGCATTCTAGGAATGAAGGTAAAAAAACCTTTAGTGTGCAGCAGCCTCCGCAGCCCCCAATACCTACCTAAGCCCAATCCCAATCCAGCTATGTGAATGAGAGCTGAGGCTCACTTGGGTCTCTCTCTTCTCATTGGCTGAAACACAGCAGCCAGAGCCAGTCAATCACAGCCATAGACACACAAAGGAAGCTCGAGAGTGGAGGTGCACTGGTGCCCCCAGAGCAAGCTTCTTGTTGTGGAGGCACTGAGAGGGGTGGAGGGGCCAGGAGCACTTGCAGGGGATCCAAGAACAGGAGGATTGGGGCTTCTCTGTGCAAAACTATTGCACAGAACAGGCAGGTGTGATGTATTTACTATTTTAAAGAAAAAAAAAACAAGTCTTTATAACTACTTTAACAGGTAAGCATGTAACCTGTTGTAACATAATAGGGAATGCAGCAAACAATGTTATTAAGTGTTCTGATATGTCTTTGCAATCTTGACTCTTGAAACATGGATTTAATACAATAATGCTAACTGGTGTTGGAAGACACTGGTTTGTGAGTATTAGCATTCAGCTATGATGAAGTAATTCCAGAATCTTTGCTGCAGTTTACGAACATGCCTCCTAACATCTTTTTTTCCTTAAAGCACCGTGGTCCATTCAGGATGAGGATCTATGAGAAGGAAGATTTCAGAGGTCAGATGATGGAGTTCACTGAGGACTGTCCCCATGTCTTTGAGCAGTTCAGATATAATGATATCCACTCCTGCCATGTATTTGATGGTCACTGGGTTTTCTATGAAGAACCCAACTACAGAGGACGTCAGTATTACCTGAGACCTGGAGAATACAGGAGATATACTGAATGGGGTGCCTCAAATTCCAGAGTAGGCTCCTTTAGAAGAGTCCAATATATTCAGTAAACATGAAAAATAACTTCACATTTGATTTTCAAAAATAAAACCTGATCTTTATTGCCTGGTTTATGATTTTTTACTATTTGAGTGGCATTAATGCAATTACTTGTTGAAATTAGTGATGGGCAAATCTGCCTGGGTTTGATCAACTAAGAGTTAGGTGAATCCTGCTGCTAAATTCTGGTCATGTTCTGGGCTGTTAGGCAAACTATTGTCAAAATGGCATGTGGAACAGGGCACTGATATGCAGTACATGAAACAATGCAGAAAAAAACCCTCAAAAATACAACATATTCTACTAAGGAAAAGAATCATTTGAATACAAATTCGAGGGAGACATGAACAAGATACCAATACTTTAAATTACATAATTGAGAGATGCCTTTAAAGCCCAACTACAGGTAAAATTCAAAATTTCTGTATTGGCAGTAAAGTATTTCTTTCCTATGTTCCTTCAGCAAAACTATATTTGTGAGACGTACAGCATTATCCTCATTCAAAGTTTCTGTTTTATTACATTGGTGTACTTGTTTCCTGTCCTAGGCACTAAACACGTTCACCGGCTCCTTATCTGTACAGGAACCCATCCTGGCTCAATGCACTCACTGAAACAAAGAAAGGGTTCAGATGCCGCACACTAACAATAGCCCAGGTATAGACTAATAAAAAGTTGCTCTGTCCAGGTCATGCCCCTGAAACATCTTACCCCGCCCACAGGGCTTAGTCATGGAACCAGACTGAAGCCAATTTTTACTAATCTATACCTAGGATTTTGTTGATGTGCAGTGTCTGGACCCTTTCTTTGTTTCAGCAAATCCACTTACATGGGTACATGTATCTTGTCATCCCCCAGAACTTGTTGTTGTCCAAGAAAGAAAAAGAACACCCAGAGTTAACTTGGAAATCCTCAATAACATCACCCCACCCATGTTTAACACCCACAGTTTGGAAAGGGTGAAATTTCCCTCATCAGACCAGTCCCATTTGTTTCTCCTCCTCACAGCACCCCAACCCTCCTTTTCATATTTCTGCTCAGTTTCCTGCTGCCTTTGAATCAAAAGAATGAAGGCTGTGGGAAAAGGTTCCTGCTGGCCCTGAAATAGCAGCAAGCCCCCTTCTTCCTATGTGTCTAGTGCCCAGTCTATCAGGCTACTAAGCGTGTGCTCCATGAGGAACACAAGAGGGGTCATGTCATCAATCTCCTCCTTGCTGCGGCTCACCATTTTAGCTGTCTCTTCAAAAGATGCCAAAATGTTGCACGCATCCTGACTGATGAGCAATGGAAACCGTGAAAAAAACTCAAGCTCCCCAGAGTCTGTCCTCATATCATAAACACACAGGTAGTCATTGATGCCACACTGCTGCAGCCTCTGTATGGCCAATGTTGGGTTCCATTATGTGACCAATCACAGATGATGATGTTGGCAGGCAACTTATGTTGTAACTGAATTTCTGCAAGGTGATCCATATACACTTATTGGGATTTTTTTAACCAAAAACATGTAGCAGAATACATTTTGGCCTAAATTTATGACAATATTTTAGTTTTTTTAGATATTTTTTATGACCAAAATGAGAAAAAATATTGTTTTTTTTCCTTCAAAATTTTTTTTCCTTAAAAATTTTTGTGGTTATAGCGCCAAAAATAAAAAAGTGCACAGGTGATCAAATACCACCAAAAGAATGCTCTATTTGTGTTAAAAAAAAGACATAAATTTCATTTATGTACCATATTGCATGACCGCGCAATTGTCCGTTAAACTAGTGCAGCTCTGTATAGCAAACAAATGGCGTAAATTGCAGTATCTATACCATAGTTTGTAGACGCTATAACTTTCACACAAAGCAATCAATATACACTTATTGGGATTTTTTTTTACCCAAAAACATGGAGCAGAATACATGTTGGCCTAAATTTATAACTAACTTTGAGTCTACTATATATTTGTTATAGCTGAAAGTAAAAAATATCGTTTTTCTTCAAAATATTTGGTCTTTTTTTGTTTATAGCGTGAAAAATAAAAAACGCACAGGTGAACAAATACCACTGAAAGAAAGCTCTATTTGTGTGAAAAAAAGGACGTAAATTTTGTTTAGGTGCAGCATTGCATGACCGCACAATTATCAGTTGAATTAGTGCAGCGCCGAGTAGCAAAAAGAGTCCTGGTCATTAAGGGGGGTAAATCCTCAGGAGCTTAAGTGGTTAACCCTCTACACTGAGATTGGCGCCCCCTTGTGTCCGATTCCAGTAATATAAAAGCAGCTTAGGAAGTGCCAGGCCACTACGATCAATAGGAAGGTGCAGAGTGGAGCGGGAAAGTCTAAGGGTCCTTCCAGCCCAAATAAACCCAGAGATGACGCCATCCACACGACGGAAGAAGGATTGCGGGATCTGCACCAGTGTATGCCGATAAAAATAGATAAACTTAGGTAAAAATAGTTTGGATTTCTCCCAATTAATGTGTATTCCGGAGCAGCTGCCGAAACGATCAATAAGACTCAGCGCCTCTCTAAGAGACAAATTACAGTCCCACAGTCCCTCAAATATAAGAGAATGTCATCCACATACAGGGGAACCCTATCCTCCCAATCGCCCACCAGTAGGCTGCATAAGGAATTGGAAGAGCAGATCAGGCAGGCCAAAGGCTCAAATGCCAGGGCAAACAAGCCCAGTGAAAGCAGACAGCCCTACCGAGTGCCGCTATGGAGAGCAAAAGGAGGGGTGTAAGGGAATTCCCGTGAGGCGGGTGGTGAATAGACGTGCGCATGTGCACAGAAATGCACGATCACGCACAGATGTACGTGCACACGCACGGTGAAGATTGGTGCCAGACAAACTATTTAAAAGGTGCCTCTGCTTACTGGTCTTCAGCTGTTCCTTGTTTCCTGCTCGTTCCTGTGTGATTTCTTTGTTGCTGACCGGGCTTGTTCCTGACCTGACTCTGATTACTCTCCTGCTTGATACTTGTTCCTGACTTCAGCTCTGCTCCTGACTTTGGCTTGCTTATGATTTGGTACCTCACTGTCCGCCCGTTGATGACCCTGGCTATTCCTTTGACACTGCTCCTGTCTCCCATTCCTGCTTCCTGCCTTGCTCTGGTGCAAACCTGGCGATCTACCATACCGGCTCTGCATATTACTACTGTGCCTGAATCAGAGGTTCACCAGTCTTCCAAAGTCTCCAACTGCAAGAGCTGCAAACAACATCTGCTGGCGCTCTTGTCCCCCTGGTCCCTAGACACCCTCTGTTCCAATTCCAGTGGGGTCAGGGCTAGTGACGCAAGTGAGGCCGACCTCGTCATTTCAGTCTCCAATCAGGTACATGACAGGGGGAAAGGATATTATTAGTACGTACTCTGGAAAGCGACGCACTTTACAGACACCTGATCCACGAAATGAAGTGAGGGCCAAATCCAAAGCGGAGCAGAGTTTCCCATAGATACTACCACTCAACTTAATCGAAGGGTCATCCCTGTCGCAAGCCGCAAAAATATGGACGAGCAGTCTCCGTATGTTAATATCCATACCCTTCCCTGGCATAAAACCCGTCTTGTCATGGTGCACCACCGCAGAGATAACCGAGTCTCCCAGCCAGCACCTTAGCGAGTACTTTTGCATCAGTATTTAGCAGGGAGATCGGCCGATAGGAGGAGCAGTGAGTCAGGTCCTTCCTGGGCTTCAAAATCACCACTATCACCGCTTGAAGCATATCTGAGGGAAGAGTTCCTGTCTCAAGTAGTGCGTTAAAAATTGTTTGAAAACGGGGAGCCATTTGCTCAATGTACGTTTTATAGAATTCAATTGAAAAGCCATCCGGGCCCAGCGTCTTGCCAGAATGAAGAGCGCCAATCGCCTGCTGGATCTCCTCCAAGGAAATCGGTGCCTCCAACCGCTCCCTCTGGACAGCAGAGAGAGATTGCAGGTCAACATGATGCAGATAGCGGGACAAATCCTGTGGCGTGAAGGCAGCTTTGGAGGAATACAAATTTGCATAATAGTTGGAAAAACACCGGTTGATGGAAAGTGGATCAAGGATTCTGAAACCGTCTTTGGCCTGTATGAGGGTAATATTGGAAAGGGCGGATTGTTCCCTAGCCAACCAAGCTAGTAGGCGGCCCGCTTTATCACCCTGTTCAAAAATACATTGTTTTTGATGCAGCATAGCCTTCCTGGAGGCCGCAGTACATAACAATAAAGAGTCCCTAATAGCCAGTTGTAAGTCGTGATGACTAATAGAACCTGGATTGAGCACATAACTGGATTCGGCTTCCTGCACCCTCCGGTCCACCAAATCCACTTCTGCCTGGCATCTAATCTGCAGCCCCCCTGCTTTCAGAAAATATATAATTTATTTGGAATATAAAGTAATTGTCAGCCACAAATTGTGCAGTTTAGCCAGTAACAGGCTGCAGAGAGTGAGAGTTCTGCTGCCTGTAGGTTTGCTGCCTGTATCCACTCCTAGTGTCCTTGATCCTCCTGGCTGAGTGCACAGTTTCCCGATAACTAATTGTTCATGTTAAATAGAGAATATGGATCTATTGTTGCTGCTGAGTAACGGTATGGGGATCTATCGTTGCTGCTAGGGGCAGATTATTGCTGCTGGGGTATCTATTGTTGCTGCTGGGCTATCTTTTCTTGATGCTTGGCTAATTAGTGTTGCTGCTGGGGTAACTATTATTGCTATCTATTGTTGCTCATTCATCTACTGTTGTTGCCGGGGTATATATTCTTGCTGCTGAGGTAACTATTATTGCTATCTATTGTTGCTCATACATCTACTGTTGTTGCCGAGGTACATATTCTTGCTGTTGAGGTAACTATTATTGCTATCTATTGTTGCTCATACATCTACTGTTGTTGCCGGGGTATATATTCTTGCTGCTGATGTAACTATTGTTACTATTGTGTCTTATAAGTCCCATAGTCAGTGGGGGTTATCATTAATGCAAAGATGTACTCTAATGGCTCATTTACATGGGAACTTGGAGCTGTACTGTATAAAAACT